TAGCTAATGCAATTTGGGAATGACTCCAAGCTAGGACACACTGTTTTCTCAATAGATCTTTGGCACAACTACATTAAGAATATTATGGTTTCTTTTGTGAACTAAATTAACTGAAAGACAAATTGGCAGATCTATAGAACAGAGTGACTGAGGGAAAAGACTAATTAAACTTCAAAGTTAATAGACATGCCCTCTCAACCATGCAGATGGAATACCTAAAAGTGTTTCAATACCATTTAGAAAACAACTCCTTTTCAATTTTACATATTAAGATAAGTTTAATAACACAGAGAAACTGGATTAGAAAAGAAAAATAGCTTCCTAAAATGAAGTGCAATATGTATGAAAAAAAGCACTGAAAACTGAGAACTCACAGTAGGTGAACAAGTCAGATTTCTGGCAGCAGCCATGTTAAATAAGGGATATAAAGGCATAATTCCCTATTTATGCATTTGTACTGGCAGATGCCTTGGATGTAAATCCATATACACTGTAAGAGGACCACTTGATTAAGCTGGGAGGAGAAAGTACCTTAAATGCAGGTATGAAGCACAGTGCTGACACGACAGATGCATCTGAAATAGGAATATTCTTTGCTTGCAAACATATTATTAGTATAAACATTGTTATGCAGCATATCATGTAGTAAAAACTGTAATGTATTTTTTAAACATTCCTAGTATGGCAACAGCCTCTGAACTCCACAGAAGAACAGCTGTTTCCAGAAGTAAATTATGGCTCTTAACTGCAAAAAGCTCTTGAGTGCGCATCAATTTCTGTAACTCAGTGCATTCTAGAATTTTCTTTCTAGAATGAAAGAGCAGACATTGTGTATCTTGTAGATTTTTTTTTCCTATAGTAGATCTTCATATTCCTAGGCTATACTGATCTAGGGAAATTTAGAATGATATATTTGAAAATAAAATTTTCTTCTTTTTCAGAAAAAAATCATCTCAACAGTCAATAAAAGAAATTATTAGATGGTATCAATTTAAAGTTTAAGTAAGTTATATCCCAATTGCACTTATATTTCTATTAAAAAAGATTCGAATTAGTCAATTTCTGTGTTACAGATGAGATTTCAACAATACATGAAACTACACAGCTACGTTGTTTTCAGTTAGTTACTCCAAAGCAGACAGAAACTATATGCTGGAATTGCTCACGTGAAATATATCAACATTTCTACACAAATGAAAGCTACAAAGACTAAAGCACAAGATGAATGTTCAGTACGAAAACAGGAATTTTTAAATGAAACTCAAATTAATCCTATGCACTTCTTCAGAATTCTGTTCCAAGTCAGCATTTGATGCGAGTTTATAGTAATTTAAAAAAAAAAAAAAAGACAATAAGCGACAAATGATGGTCTAACAAGGAATGAGTCCCTTTAGAACTTCCACAATATCTACCTATATGAAAACAGTTAAAAATTGAGGTGGTTTAAATATAAGAAATACCTTCGCTGACTTCTAGCCATTCTAGAACAACCCTCCTTATCTGGAGTAACAATTAACAATTAATATTTAAAGCTTTGTCCTTGGTAACATTTATTCTGCCATCATATGCTCACTATGTTACGTGTTGTGTACTTTATGAATCCATTACATAGAAGAAATGTTTTAATATGTTTTCAATGAGTATTAAGAACAAATCATGTCTCAAGTATAACTAAACTGGTCACATTTATGTTGCTCGCTTAAATTTAGTTTTTAATTACTTGTACAAATAGTTTAAAATTCTGCAATCAAAAAAAAAAAATCAGACATCTTAAAACAGTATGCTTAGGTTACATTTTGTCATTGTTACCTAGCTGCCTCATTCATATAGTCCCACCAGTGGATGATTAATACTAAAAATTATCATTTCTTGTACATGTGTATAATTTAATCCTCATCCCAAGTATAAATCCGCAACACAGTAGTAACGCTGCAGGTACAGAAGTAATGCTTCCTATCAGGCATATGAAAAGATTAACACTCTACCACAGTTGATGCTGGTGTATTTATATAGAAGGCTTCTCACACATCGTTTCAGTCTACAGGAGGTAGATGTTTGTCTATGAATTGTTTTACATCCATCATCTCCTGTTTAAAGATAAAAGTATGTATTAGTTGAAGTTCCCTACTAATATATATTCAGCTACACTAAATCATGTTTCAACATTTCAGTTCTAATGAGCAGCTGGGCTACAAATATTGAGTTAATTAGTGGAATTAATCATACCACTTTGCACACAAGTCAAGGCTGATAACTCTTCCAGGCACTATGCACTCAGAAGAGGCTAAAATACAAGAAAAAGAGCAAAGACTATTTTTTCTCTCTCTATGAAGTTTAGCTGGCAAGCTATATATTAATCATCAAGTGATCTGAACAGCACCAGGCTGAGCACAGATAGGATTTGAATGTAGCTAAGGCCATAGCTTCGTGTATACTTTAAACTTTTGCAAGCTAGCACAGCAGTGTGAAAATCCAGCAGCTCCTCCTCCTAAGCATTCAGTTTCACCTTCATGATGCTTCCTTCCTTAAGGAAAAGCAATACAGCAAACTAGACTGCGAAACCAATCCATGTTAAAAAAAAACCCTAAATTATTTTTAATTAAGTCAATGTTGTAAGAAAGAGCATGTTATTAATATATTTGTGTGACAGCTCAATGCTATTACTGCCTAAACACAACTGTGTAAATGTCCCAAAGAGGTTGTCCAAGGGTACAGTTCCCACAAGTTGCAGCAATCCAAATCAACAAAGTTACTGCTGCTGACAAATGGCAGATTTGTTCCTTGCCTCCTCTTCTGTTTCTTGCTCCTACCATTTACTTTGTGTGCGTTCTGATGCTTCAACTCATTACAACTCCAAAAACTGAAGCCTGCAGCTTTTGCCATTTTAGCAAGTTCAAATGGTTCAGAGAAGTTTCTGATCAGCTCCAGAGCTGGTGCAAGACGGAAGAGAGGGCCACAAGGTCATGAGCAGAGGGAACTAGTCCACCCCTTTCTGGCAGCAGCAAGCCATTACATCAGCTCAGCTGCCTCCTGAGCCAGAACCATAAATATAGGCTCTGAGGCTGCCTCTTCCATAGCGTCAACCCTCCCTCTCCATTCATTCGATGTCTCCATCCATAGAACTAACAAGATTCTTCTCTCCAAAATACCAAGTTGCATTTGCCTTCCAATTCAGCGATTTTTTTTTTTTAGTAAGCAAATAAAAAAAATGGTGGGGGGGGGGGAAGAAAGAGTATTTTATAGACCAACTAGCCTAGTCCCAAAAATACAGTCTTATGAGGAAGTTCCCACTAGTCATATAAACTTTTGTCTTGGATGCTTTTTCAGCCAGGCATTCAGTTACTCACTAAAATAAGTCAGTAGCATCAAGCACTTGTCAATTAAAAAAAAAAAAAGAAAACCCACACCAAAAAACAACGCAAAGAAACCCTCACCCAATACATATTTGTTTTGAGGGAAATTAACCATAGCCAGCTAAAACATTGTATATTAAGAAAATTACCTCAATACATGAGCTATGCATCATGCCAGAGTAAGTCCTGAAGGTTACGTTGGCTGGATTGATCATACTCTTTAGCTTCTCAACAGTGAGAGAACCGAACATTAAAGGAACCAATGGGTCACAGTCCCCATGGCACTGAAGAACAGCAATCTCCTTGTTGACACCACTGATAGGGCCCTGTTAGGGGTGGAATTAGAGGGGAGAAGAGAAGAAAGAGACAGTAAATGGAGGTAAGGCTAACATCTTCGAGATAAAATAACCCCATGGCACTATGCCCTGTGGCATGACAAATAAGTTGAATTCTGAAGGAAAAAACCCACAGTGTATAGTCCGCAAGTTCCTTATAAAGTAAGCTCTGTGCCTGAAAACACTTTTAAGTTCAAAAACCTGCAAATAAAATTTTGGCACTAATTTCGGAACAGAACAACATGATTTCTGGCCAAGTAAAAAAACCTGATACTTTGTTTAAATACCTAGTCTCTAATAAGATAGTGCCTTGAAGATGGAACAAATGGCAAACAGAAAATTCATCTTCAAGGAAAATTTGCTGTATCCTTTAAGTTTCCTAGGAATGTCATTTTAAGCAGAGATACTACTGAGTATTTCCTCATTTTCCCGACTTGCCAGACTCTGTAACTCCAGGGCCCTATTTTAAAGACTTCTGAGTTATCAAACAACTGTCAACATTGGGTAATAACGATGGCCACTAATTCCTGCACAAGATACAATCTTCAGATATACTCATTCCCCAAGTGCAAATTAGCTTAGGAAAGAAACATAAATACCTGAGGAAAAGAAGCCCGTAGAGGAAGCCAACAGCTGAGGGCTACAACACCTGCTAATTTTTGTTGTGTTGTAAGAGCTGTATACAATGATAAAGCACCTCCCTAAGATAAAGAGATGTAAGTATTAGAATGGTGATGGTAATGCTTGTTTTCAAGATCTCTGGTTTCTTCTTAAAAGTCTTTTTCTATTCCAATCTATTCTGCCTTAGAACCAACACTAAACCCAGTATTCCTGTACAACATTTATTTTGCTCCCCCCACCCCATCCATGTGATCAATTCAGAAGTCAAACAGCAAATTTACCGTAACTAACAGCTCGGGGGCGAGGAGGAACACAAAAAAACCCATGATATAAAGCACTATCACTCATGACAGTATTATTACTACTTTAATATTTTCATTTACTTGTATGCAGACTGGTAAGTTGGTGTATGGACCAATTAATCTAGTAACCTACCTACCACAGATGTCTTACAAGTACAAAGGGAAGAATTTCCCAAATAAATCCAGACCATCAAATATCTACCAAATTAAAGTTAAATTAAAAATACTAGCAACATTTTCAAGCAAAGCCACATAAGTTACATGCATAAAAACTTTAAATAGACTATTAATTTTAGTACCTTTTTTCCACATGCATGTTCCTTTTCCAGTGAATAGTAACTATTTGCATAAAACTAACAAACTTCATTTGTTAAGGCAAGGGAAAATTGACACCTTAAAATTTTAGGAGCACCTAACATCAGCTCTTTTCAATTCAAGCGTGTGGATTTCCCATGTTAGGAAAGCTAGGTTACTTCCCTAGAAAAAGACACAGTTCTTTCCAACCATACCTTACCTGAGAAAAGCCTCCCAGAATAATTCTATTAGAAGGAATTCCGTTTTTTACTTCTTGATCTATCAGTGCTTTAACTGCAAGATAAACAAAGGCCAGCAGTTAAAAACCACTCCATTCTGTAGAAAGTCTAGAAGAGGAAAGAGACCTTCTCCCTGATGTCAACGGAAAGCGAGCAAAAGGAAAATCTGGTCTGCTATACATTAAAAAGTATCAAAAGATCTAGAGCATGATCAGAAGTTCCAGTGCCACTGTACCATTTCCAAAGAGAAAAACTTGCAAGCAAGTCTCGCAAAAGCCCCACTGCCAGGAAGATGGTATCCTCTTCTAACTATCCAGCATCACAAGTGGATGCTCGTACAGCTCTAACCTGCTGTGCTACCGAGAAGCTCTTTAAAAAAAAAAAAAAAAAAAGTACACTGGTTCCCACATACGTTTCATATTTGAGAGTATGAAGTGTTTGTATTGGTGAATTACTCTACCTACTCATGGAGTTTAAAAAAACCAAAAACACAAAACAAACTATGCACTTAGCTAAACTTTGATCAGGAATAATACAATATATACATATCACTTTTCCTAACAATTTTGTCTTTGGAAAATCTGTTTCAGACTTCTAATTAATTTTTAAGAATACACGGAAGTACTTTTAAGCCGTAAAAAATATTCCTAAGCATACCATTCTCCGCTGCCTGCTTGATCCCAACTTCATCTTCCTGTGAATCTGGAGAAAGTCCAATGATATCAAACCTTACAAAAATATCAACAAGGGAATTACTTATTAGAACATCCATTCCACTTCCTTAGAGCACAAATAATAAAATTGGGGTATTTTCCAGACAAAAGCGTTAGCTGACATATTAGTTAGAACCAACCACCCATAGTTTACAAAAAATAGCAGACAGTCTGTGAATGTGGCTAAAAGGCTAGATCTAGTCAACAAAGCTTTTCTGATTTTTGCTATCTTCTGTAATTTACTGTAGATTAAGCAGCTCAGTTTTGACATTTGCTCCAAAAATATCAGCAGAAATTTCAATTTATCAGTTGCATGTACAAAATTAAAATACTGTTTGAAGAAATATAGGAAAAACAAACACAAGTTACTTGAGAAAAAAAAACTGAAGAGGACTGGTTTAAAACCATTCAAATCTACCATATTTTTCTTGCTTTCTATTCAGAATGGATGTTTTAAAGAATAGTTTCTGGATATCCTACTGACCCACCAAATATTACTCACTAGTAGCAATAACGTTTCCGCTGCAAGTCTCTACTACTACTGACTATGAATTCACACACAATACAGACTACCGGCTATACTTGTAAAATAAAGTGGTCTTTTTTATTTTGGGACATACATATTAATCCTGAGGAACAGCCATTACCATAGATACACATGGAATTAGAGCATACTCGTGAGAGCCCTTTTATGAGAACGGAACTAAAGCAAAAAGCTTTTTATACTTACATCTGATTAAGACTAGCCATTCAGGTTGTTAATGATTTTTAATAAAGAACAATGAGTTCAAACCCCTAGATATCTTTTGATTAGAATCATCTGCAATTGAACTAATACATACCATGATGGCATAGCCATGTTCATGTTCAAAGAAACTGGCATAACCGGCCTAGAAACGAGAATGCAGAACACTGACATAAGATATATACTGAAATTTAATAATGCAGATGCAGTTATGTCATGAAACTACATATCCCTAATTCTGTCTTACTTTTAAACCATAATTAACATTAGCTACTTTGTAGCATCTCTTCAAGAAATCTCTCTCGAAACCTGCCAGCCCAAACACATTTAATATTCAGAGCTGAATTACCACTCTATGGTGAGCAAGCAAAACATTAATGGGCTGCTTTATATAAATATATGTGTGTGTGCATATATAGCATATACATGAGATGGATAGATGTAACACACACATGTAGCTCATTTAGTTATTTCTAAGTAACAGTTATTTATCACAATTCCATACACATGCTCAGTGGATGAAGGCACCTTACACAGCAGCATCAGCAAACCTAAGGAAGCAGCCAAACGCGGCACAGTGGTGGATACGCATCTGGCCACACATGCTTCTCTCAGCAGCAGAATCTGCTTAAGCAGTGCCTGCCTTCATTGCGGGACTCATTCCCACCCTTATGCTGCTGTATGGCATCTTTTCAGACATACCAAGACAACTTCAGCGGACCATGCCATGAATCAAGTCTTGGCTACAGTTTTAACCTACTGAAACTGAGGAACATAAGTTCTGCGGGGAAAGACTGAAAGAAGACAAAGGGCAAGCAAAAAGAGCAGCAGATACAGCTACGCTCTTTCTGAATGGCTCAGCAAAGTGTGGCCATGTGGTAAAATAGATAAATAAATCACAGCCCAGTAATCAGTAATACACCGAAACGTTGCTTATCTCCCTATCATCCCTGCTCTACATCTCCCAAGACTGCTGGAGCAAAAGACAATATGAATTTTGTGTTAAAATAAATTAAGATTATACCTAATCAGTTTTTCTATCATTAAGTAAATACCAGATAGATCTTAATGCTTTATTTACTGACTCCTGACCCTGCTCAGAAGCATTTCAATTCTCAAATTGCACAGAGAAAGCTCACATGGCATTATTTGCTGAAAATACGAATATCCTGTGAATCTTTGAAACCTGCTGTAGGTAACAGGGAAATTCCATCTCCTATACATGCACTTCAGTTTAAGAAGTACATGTACCCCACACGAAGTATATTTAATGGTCAGTAAAATACAAAAAGTTACTCCTTGTTAAGACTGGCTTTCAACAAATGACTGTTGGGGGAAAAAAGCAACAAACAACTCAATCCAGTGAAAACTTAAAGTCAAAACAATCTAACTTTGCACATAAAACTTTCCAAATATGTTTTCAGTCTGAATTCGTAACAAAAGCAAAATATGAATAAAAAAGCAGTTTTGCCATAAAGTAAATCACACAGCAGTTCCTAAAAGTAACAATATTTAATAGCATCATTATTTTACAGTGTTTTTTCATATAAAAACAAAATGCAGAGACATCCGAATCCCATTTGACTTCATCATCTGTGCAAGTGTCTTAATAAGTAACTCTACAAAAAAATGTAAAACAATAGAAGTTACAAACTTACGCATGTGGGCAAATGTATTTTACATGGGGGCTTTTGATACCTGCAAGCGCTTCTGACCATCCATGCCTGTTAACAAAAAAACATATTAAATGGCATTTATGTTTTGGCTTGTCTCTTATTTCTATGTTGGTGCAACAGCACAGAGCAAGTATGAAATATGCTGAATTAGATCAATATAAACACATTTCTAGAAAATTTTTACATCAACTGCAGTATGCTATGAATATAGTACTAAACTGAAAAGGTTTGTTCCACCTCTGAATATTTGTTGCATATATACAGCCAGGGACACTTTACCTAATTTGACTATCATAGTTGTGGCACAGCTGCAGAAATACCACTTTGGCTCTAGGCAAAGCCTGCTCTGTACCTGGCCGGGTTTATTAACTTGGGTGCTACAACATAGGAACACAGGTACCCTGTTCCCAGGCAGCTCTAGCCCAGAGGCTGCTTTGCTGCTCCTGTAGAGTTAAGGCAGGTTCTTTCACAGCCAACTTTGCCTTTTCTGAACCAAATTTCTTGATGCAGGAGAGTAGCGAACTGACACCTAAGCTAACTCCACATGGACTCAACCTAATCAGACCTAGTAACTTTGGCTCAGCTCGAATGCTGTCAGATTCAGGCGGTCCTGAACAACACTCCAGATTGCAGGTAGTTTTTTGATCTCGAGCACGTGCTGTATGAATGCACAGAACAATGCGAAATCTGCACAGCAGACGAGTTATCAAGCTTCCTACAAACCAGAAAACTGGAAAGCATAATTTAAATAAACAGCTCCAAAAGACTCACTCTAGGGCTCATCTAGACATGAAACAAGCTGGACCCAAATCTGAACGTGTGCAGAACCACTGCCTGCACTTTGCTTTCCAGAACACTCAAGAGCACCTGTATTTCCTGGTTTTTCTCATTATTCAGTATTCCTAACTCACCCACTAAACCAGATACTGGAAAGTTGATTCTAAGCAGACAACACCTGTAACAAATTCATCAGTGATGCAGCTGAACTAATCAGACCAACAGCAGACAAGCCATAAAAGCACATTTGGTTTAGTTTCAATTTTAATATCATCCTGAAACGTTGATGTATGCTACCTAAACTTAAAGACGTTTCAAACACACAGCGCAGACATTTGCAACACTGGCTGTATATCTCAGCCTACTTCCTACGAATACTTTTATGTATACCATTAACAAATTGTGGTTGATATTACTTGCATAATATTTGCAGTATCACAGAAGGCCAAATAAGAACCTAAAGGAGAAGTACGACTGAGAAAAACTAGTTAGGTAAGAATTTGGGGACTTTTCTTAACCAACTATAAAGATTAATCTGACAAATTTGGAAAGCAACATTGTATACACATTTACACAGACTCTTTAGAACAATCCTCTATGTTGTACCTTTTGTTCAGATTTTGACAAGTATGTACCAATCGTTAAGTGCCATTTATATAGGAGCTAAGAGAGAAAAAGAACATAACCTCTGTTAGACACTTCTCAGAGTAAGAAAAATACAGTTGGTAAACTGAAGTGAGCAATTTTAAAATTCATGTGAAGTAGAACAGGTCAGTTTAAACTGCAGGAAATTATAAAATTGTTAATTAGTTCTCTTCAGACAATTCTTTTTTGGGTTACTACTACGGCTGTTTGGAAAAAAAGTGACAGTATGTCAAAGGCAGTTTTAGCTAATCTGATCTGCAGTGGACTAGAGACAAACATGGACAAATACAGCTAAATCACCATATTTCCACAGAGGTGTTAGGACTTGTTAATGCATACATTCTAGTATGCTCAGTGCATTTGCAGACTTGAGACTGCGCATTAGCTTTGCCACCAAAATGGAAATACCACATTTGTGTAAGGAATACAATTTATGTTAAACGGCAAATCTTTTTGACCCTTGCCAAAACCAACATCAACCCAATTTGCAAGGACGCAAATTCCAAAGACTCAAAAGATTCTGCAATCACTTGCTGAACATTTGGTGCCAAGATGCAGGAAGCACTGCTGCCTCAGCTGCCTCCCACCAGCAGAAAGGGAGAGGGATAATGCAAACGAGGCGGTATGCCAGCACAGCAAATGAGAGCAAACATCTCCACTTGTAGACTACTGCCAAGTGCATGGACTTGACTCTTTTTAACTTATTAAGTGTCCAGGTTACACAAGTTTCAATTCTGACAGCTGACTTTTTTTTTTTTAGTTCTTCAAAAAAAGTTTATGTCATTGCAAGTTTCAACCTAGAGGCAACATCCAAGTTGCAAGTAACAAAAATTGAGTTCTTAAAAAAATACTGTGTAACTTTGTCCATAAGGGAGCACAACAGACAAAGCATTCATGCTACTTATTTTCAGTATCTAAGTGCCAATTCCTTTGAAGTCTTCTACCAAAAGAAGGTTTCAACACACTAACTTGTTAATGCAACGGCTTTAATGAATGCATGCTTGTATCTCAGCACACACAAGCTTCAAACCGAAACATTACACCACACCTAGAAGGCATCCCAGAAATTCCCTCCTCTTTCGCTTTCTACTCAAACGTGGAAATAACAGGAACAAGGCAAACTGGGTATTTCACAGCTTATCTGGGTGTTGGGGTTTTTTTTGGAGTCTGAAGACCATATTTCAGATAGAGGAATCTGTACATGTTAGGTAACTACTTAGGAGTTTGCTTAGATAAATCAAGTAAGCCTCGATTTTAGTGTAAGTGTGACATACTGAAGAAGAAACTATGGTGTAACTGCACCTACTAGCAAACCAGCAATCCACAAGTCCGGAAAAAAAAAAGAGAATTGTCTACGTTTAGACAAACACAGGAATAACCAGGAACCCACTCTCAGGAAAGTGAGAGATAGAAACCCACAGACTTCTTTTTCCACCAAGTTTGACTCAAGATCAAAAGAGGGATCACATTCAGACCAAATTAGGTAAGTGTTTGAGAACTTATGCTGGGAAATTTTAGACAAATAGTTGTCACCATCGTTCCAGCAGACATGAAGTTTCATCTGTTGTTAGCCACCGCAGTCAATTAAGGGCAAAATAAGAAGCTTAAGTAACTTTTAACTGCTCGCATCTTTAAAACATGCAGCCTTGTATTTGAAACTGTAACTATTAAGTATGTAATAGATCAGAATACACACCCGGTATCTCCCAATCCATGAAGAAAAATGACCTAAAGGAAAAAAAAACCCATAGTAGTGTAAGATCACTGCACTGTAAACGCACCTAACCCGCGTACTACAGACGCCCACGCAAGATCACACACAGTTCGGAGCACGATACGACTTTCTCAGAAGAAAACTCCGCTTCCTTCACTTCCCATCCCCGTTCTCCCCTCCCCGGCCTCCCCGCCGCCATCAGCGGGCGCACCCCGCCCTCGGCCGGCA